TAGTTAGTAGTTAGTAGTTAGTAGTTAGTAGTTAGTAGTTAGTAGTTAGTAGTTAGTAGGTAGTAGTAGTAGTAGTAGTAGTAGTAGTAGTAGTAGCAGTAGTAGTAGTAGTAGAAGTAGTAGTAGTTAAGTAAGTAAGCAGGCAAGCAGGCAAGCAGGCAAGCAAATAAGTAGGCAGGTAAGTAAGTAAGCAAGCAGGAAAGCAAGCAAGTAGCGGCAGTGTTTCTCATAGCTTCCGTTCTTAAATAAAACTGAAACAAAGATAACCACTGCTGCAACAGCTCCGAAGGCGTAGTTGGCCCAGGGTGGCTACGTAGAAGTACCGGCCGTCGCAAGCCGCAGAGCCATCAGAAAGATTCAACGGCCTGCAGGGTCTGTTTTAGGAGTGCGGGAACTGATAAGGTTTTAGGGTTTGGGGTTAGGACTTACGGTTTAGGTTTTAGGGTTTAGGGTTTGGGGTTTAGGGCTTAGGACTTAGGGTTCAGGGTTTAGGGTTTGGGGTTTTGGGTTTAGGGATTGGGGTTTAGGGTTCAGGGTTAGGGCCGGGGCTTAGTTGTCTCCGACTTCGAATCCTCCAACTTGAAGTGTTAAACCCCGCAAACCCGACAACCCCCAAGCCCAAAGCCGTACACCCCAAACCCCTAAACCCTAAACCCTACAAACCCTAAACCCTGAAGGGCCTATAAACCCTATAAACCCCTAAACCCTCTAAACCCTACAAACCCTAAACCCTAAACCCAATGCCCTAAACCCTAAACCCTACACCCGACAACCCCTAGAGGGGTAGTTCTCTAAACTAGGGTCCCTTTTAGGGTCGTTTTTATAAGGGTGCCGTACTATATCGGGGACCTAAAAAGGGACCCTCATTTAGACAACCCCTATATAAACCCTGGATCCGACTCCCCCAGACTCCAAATCCCCGAGTCCTGCACCTGAACACCACCGAAAGCTTGGAGAATCCCAAGTCCCCAAGAAACATAACCCCCCCCATCCAAAAAACACCTGTCATAATTAGAAAGGATGTATATTTTATATACATATATGTATATGTATACGCATATATAAATATATATATATATATATATGTAGTAATTATTTTTAGTATTGTTATTATGATTTATTACTAATATTAGCATTGCTGTTATTAGTATCTTACTACTATATATATATATGCATCCATGATGGGTTTGTTTCCGTATACTTGTTCGAAGTCTCGTGCGGAAGCCTCCCCACCATGGCCATCAGGCACTGCGCCGCAGGGGCGGACCGTGGCACCGAAAGTCGGATCTTCGGAGGCTCCACCTGAGCTTCATCGTTGAAAAGGGGGTCCTTTTAAAGGGGTTCCTTTAAAGGGCTCCTGTGAGAGCTCTAGAAGGGTACTTTGGGGTTTTTTTCCGGTTTAGGGCTTTTGGGGGTTTCTGCTTTAGGGTCTTCGGGTTCAGGCTTTAGCCGGGTTTGGGGTTTAGGGTTTGGGGTCACGGTTTTAGGGCAGAGACATGGATGTGAGTTATTGAAGTTGCGACGATCCTGCCCGGAAGCGTCAGGATCAAGCTGCAATTCAAAAACAAGTTTGAACAAACCTAAACCATGAATCCTACATCATGCCCTCCATCCTAAACTCAAAGCCCGCCATCTAAGCCCCAGGCCCTAGATCAATCCCAGCAGCCAGTCCAAAGCAGCACCGGTCCTCTGTGTGGTAGCCATCCCAGCAGGAAGCTCGCCGTTGCTGCTCAGAGATGTCCTGGACATCCGGGTTCCATGTTTCAGGTCCCAATATAGGGGCCTTAATAATTAGTATAAGATTTTGGAGTCCATTCTACTATAAATATAGTCAGGACTCCCCGAAATACTATAGATAATTATTATTAAGGCCCCTATATTGTAAGGGCTCGGGGCTTCATGGTTGTTGAGATAATGAGAATGATAGGAATCATACTTATCATAATACGAATAACAAGAATAATGGTAATAATACCAATAACAACAGATACAACAATAGCAAAGTATTGAGAACTGAATTATTGAGGTGTTTGTACTTTACGCGGAAACCGAAGGTAGCAGCATGACTAGGACAACGCCCACGTGATGCTTTGCATGTTTGGGGTTGTAGTGAGGGTCGAGGGAGCAGGACTTCTGGAGGCCATTCATCTCGTAAACCCTAAACCCCAAACAATCAAAGCCTAAACGCCAAACCCTAAAGAATCTCCTCAATGCCTGCATGAGGGTGGCGGCAGCAAGCAGTGTAGCTGTAGCCGCTCGTCCAGCAATGCCGGCCGACAGGCAGCGCGCCCACCTGACATTTCAAAAGGCTCCCTTGAAGGCTTCCTTTGTGGGCTCATTTGAAGGGTCCCTGTGGGGTTCCTTTTGAGGCTTCCTTTGAGGGTTCCTTTGAGGATTCCTTTGAGAGTTCCTTTAAGGGCTCCTTTAAGGGTTCCGTCGAGGGTTCGTTTCAGGGTTCCCGCAAGGCAGATGCGGGAAGAACACGCCACTCGCGGATGCTGGCATCGGTGGTCTGCTGGGATCGAAAATGGTAATAACAGTATGGATACTAGGAATCAGTGTCGTAATAAGAATAAGAATAAGAACAATAGTACTAAACTACCAATCTGCCAGTAACGATAACAGTAATAGCAAACACAAATTAGTAATAGTAAATGATAGTCATCGTCATAGTCGAAGAACTAGAAATACTACTAGTACCAGTACGAGTACTATTTATAGCAAGCAATAGTAAGTTTGACGATCATAAAACCTGAACAGTTTTAATATTACTGTTAATCTTGTTTATTTATTATGATAGAAGTTATGAGAATGCCAGTAGTACTAAATATGATAGGAAAATAATCAATGAAGAACAACCGTGTAACAGCAGCGCTTTCATATAGGCCTTCGACTACAGGCACCGGTTTCGCCCAGGGTTCACTGGTCCCTCGCAAAAAAACGGCACAAGCCGCCTGATCGGTAGAATCGCCGGAATCTGCAAGCCGCTCTGTCATCCCAGTCTCTTGAGATGCATCTCTTGGAACACCGACTGCACTCGCACCTGAACAGCGCATCAAGCTCTGCTAGCACTAAACTAAGCCTCGCGGCGCTCCACATCCTGAACCTTAAACCCTGATCCCTAATCCCGAACAGCAGGAAGCTGCACCCCGGGCCCTATATCAGTGCTGATCTAGAGCCATGAGAGTGGCATCTCGAGCTGTGATACAAAATCCTGTGCTACACCAGGGAGGGACCTTACACTTGGGGCAGCGCCCATAGGGAAAGCACCTCGGAAGCAGCAGCGGTCGAAATGTCGCCAGGTATCCCAACACGCGACCCGCCCATCAGCTCCTCTCGAGATCCAAGGGGTTCATGTGTTTGCCATGGAAGTTGGACCCTAAGTTTAGGATCTTGGCGTTTATGGACTTTCTGGCTGAAAATCCGGGGCGCAGATCCCGGGCCCACAGCCGTAAAGCAAACGAAATGTTGGCTTCGAGTTTGTCAGGTGATCTGAGCAACTCGCCCTCTTCCTCTCTCTCTCTCTCTCTCACAAAATAAACAAGGCAATACAAGATACCTATATATATATATATATGTCTGTCTGTCTGTCGGTCGGTCGGTCGGTCTGTCTGTCTGCCTGTCTGTCTGTCTGTCGGTCTGTGCATGTACGCGTGTATGTATGTGTGTATATGTATAATATAATATAATATAATA